CCACCACTGACTGCTCTGACCAGGATCACAACAGAGGGTCCTGGACAGAGCTGGAGAAAAATGTAGAACAAAATTCTAACTCACAAAAAAAGACCAGACCTACTAGCCTGACAGAGATTGGAGAAACCCTGAGAGTATGACATCCTTTTAGCTCAGTAATGAAGTCACTCCTAAGGTTCACCGCTCAGTCAGATTAGAGAGCCCCATAAACAAAACAAGACTAATGGGGCACAGCAGTCCAGGGACAACGACTAGAAGGCAGGAGTGGACAGGAAAGCTGGTGATAGGGAACCCAAGGTTGAGAAGGGACAGTGTTGACATGTCATGGGGTTGTTAACCATTGTCACAAAACAATATGTGTACGAACTGTTTAATGAGAAACTATTTGTTCTGTAAACCTTCATTTAAAGTACAATTAAAAAAAAAAAAAAAGAATATCAGGTAAGAATGGTGGTGGTAAGTATGTGGCCTTCCAGTCTGGAGCAGTACCCATCATCCCCCAGCTCAGTTGGCAAAAACTATAGCTTTGCTGACCGAAGGCTGGCTGTGCTGTACTCCCAGAGGTGGAATATTTGATTTGAGGTAGGTAGCATGGGGAGTGTGAAAATCTGTGGGTTTGCTGGTTAAAAATGATGAACTTGGCTCAGAATGGATGGGGAAAACCTACAGCTTTGGCAGTCTAAGGTCCAGATTTGACTCTGGCAAATCAGTCAGAATTTAATAGGGAAACCCTGGAAGTAAGAAAGCAGACAAGTTACTTGGCTGACTGCTAAAATGTATATATGGGGGAAACCTGAGAAAGGACAGGGTAAAAATGAAAGAAAAGGGAGACTTGAGAACTGGCTGCTAACCTGGAATGTATCCCTCACTCAGCTTGATCAGCAGAGGATGGAAGCCTTATAGGCTTGAGGTATCTAAGCACATCTCTGCCCAGATAACTAATTGTCTGATCTCTAAACTATATAGATACAGTGGTAACCACTAGGGAGCCAAGCTAAAAAATAAAAATAAAAAACTCAGTAAAGACATGAGTGGCTACAAGCTGCAGAGGAGAAAGATTCCACAAACAGTTTAAGCCCATTCAAGTTATTAAAACAAACAAAAATCCACCATTGCTATACTGCAGTATCTAAAAGGTCCAGTTTTCAATCAAAGAAACTGACTCTGAGTAGAAAAAAGAAACTGACTCTGAGTAGACCCAGATGATGGATTTAACAAAGACTTCAAAGCACCTATTATAAATATGTTCAAAGAATTAAAGAAAAATACACTAATGAGTCAACTAGTAGGGAACCTAAACACAGAAATGGAGACAATGAAAAAAGAACTGAATTGAAATTGTAAATGTGAGAAGTACAATAACTAAAATGAAAAATTCACTAGATGGACTCAACAGCAGATTTGAGGGTACAAGTTCAGTGAACTTGAACACAGATTGATAGATACTATCAAATATGAAGAACAGAGAAAGAAAAGATTAAAGTAAATGGAACTTCAGTGACCTGTGGGACAATCTCAAATCTTCCAACATTTGTGTAATAGGAGTTCCAGACAGAGAGGAAGAGAAAGGAGCAGGAAAAAAATTTGGAAAAATTAATGGCCAAAAACTTCCCAAATTTGATGAAAACAATCAACTTACAGATCCAAGAAACTCAACAAACCCTAAATAGAATAAACACAAAAAGAACTACTTCTAAACATACCATAGTTAAACTGCTAAAGCCAAGAAGATAAAGAGAAAAATCTTGCAAAACACAACTCTATACATTGTTTAGAATACAAAAATATGTTAAAAAAAAAAAAAAAAGAACAAAGTCATATAAGTAAATGATAAACACCAAATTCAAGATAGGGAAGAAAGGGAAAATAATAAAATCAGGGAGGGATACACAGGAAGCTTGAATTGTATTAATAATGTATTTGTTAAGCTGGGCACTGAGTATAAGGGTATGTATAAAATATTCTCTATATCTTTATGTTTCAAACATTTCATCACCAAAAAAGTTATCAACAATAATTAAGCCCTATGCTACATAGAGAAAAAAAGGGGGGAGTGGGATATCTGTGATTTAGTTACATGAAAATATTTTTTGTAATTATGCCTTTATATTGCTTATCAAGACTCATTTAAAACAGGTTACAGTTAAAGAAAAACTGTCTCTTAAATGATTATATGCTTCAAGAGAGTTACCAAATGTAAGAGGACCTGTGGTTCCATTTCAATACAGATATGCGTCTCTTAACGTTCACGATACATTCTGTGAAATAGGTCATCATGTACTTTGGACATTGTGCGAGCACCATATTATATACACGAGACAGGCGTGGAGGACAGACCCGCACTACCTCGCTGAGGGACTTCATGAAAAACTTTGGCTCCGCCACTGCTGTTCCTGCATGGTCGCTGCCTGGTCTCTGAGATCTGCCTCCGGCCCCTGCCCGCCCACTGCAGCACACGCACTGCCCAGCCAGCTGCCTCCCTTCCCTTCCTTCCTTCCTTCCTGCCAGCTTTCCCCACCCCACCTGATGGGCTTTAAACTCTTCCAGCTCCACCTCCTCCTCCCGCCACTGCCATAGACTGGACCACTCGACAGTCATCAGGAAGAGCTGCAGCCTTGGGCCCGGGTGTGATGTGCAGGGTGCCCAGGCCCTGTGGGGCATCCCCCTTGATGGCTCCACTTGTGCCTGCGTGGTCCTTGCCTGAGGTGAGCACGGTGAGACAGACAGATGTGGATGGGCACTGAGGCCCCCTCCCCATGCTGTCCCAGGGCTAGGGTGGACTCGAGACCCGGCAAGCTAGTGAGATAGACAGACTGGATCTCCGTATTTAGCAAAGTACATCTGTTACATCCTATTCTCCTACCAGGATTTCTGAACTCTATTATAACCTTATGGGACCACGGATGTACATGTGGTTGCACGTTGACCTAACCGACGTTAAGCAACACATACCAGTAATTAGTTTGCAATATTATACTGAAAATTTCACGGATTTCATTTATAGCTTTTACCTCACAGCTCCAGAGCCATTCCATACTGCTGGACACTGGGAACAGTAAGGCCATTCTCTTGAATCTAATCTGTTATCAATGGCATCCTAGGGAAGAAAAAGAGTTAACATCGTCAAGAAAATGTTGTGAATTCTAGGACATTTTTTCTGTTTTGTGAACAGGTCAAAACTTCTACTTGCCATTAGGGAATATGCTGTTGTTGTTGTTAGGTGCTGTCCAGTTGGTTCCAACTCACAGCGTCCCTATGTACAACAGAATGAAACACTGCCTAGTCCTGTGCCATTCTCACAATTGCTGTCATGCTTGAGCCCACTGTTGCAGCCACTGTGTCAATCCATCTCATTGAGGGTCTTCCTCTTTTTCACTGACCCTCAACTTTACCAAGCATGATGTCCTTCTCCAGGGACTGATCCCTTCTGATAACACGTCCAAAGTATATGAGATGTAGCCTTGCCATCCTTCCTTCTAAAGAGCATTCTGGTTGTACTTCTTCCAAGACAGATTTATTCATTCTTTTGGCAGTCCATGGTATAGTCAATATTCTTCACCAACACTACAATTCAAAGGTATCAATTCTTCTTCGGTCATCCTTATTCATTCTCCAGCTTTTGCATGCATAATGAGGCGACTGAAAACACCACGGCTTGGGTCAGGTGTACCTTAGTCCTCAAGGTGACAACTTTTGCTTTTCAACACTTTACAGAGGTCTTTTGCAGCAGATTTGCCCAATGCAATGTGTCTTTTCATTTCTTGACTGCTACTTCCATGGGTGTTGATTGCGGATCCAAGTAAGATGAAATCATTCATAACTTCAATCTTTTCTCCATTCATCATAATGTTGCTTATTGGTCCAGTTGTGAGGAATTTTGTTCTCGTTATGGTGAGGTGTAATCCATACTGAAGGCTGTGGTCTTTGATCTTCATCAGTAAGTGCTTCAAGTCCTCTTCATTTTCAGCAAGCAAGGTTGTGTTATCTGCATAACGCAGGTTGTTAATGAGTCTTCCTCTAATCTTGATGCCCCGTTCTTCTTTACATAGTCCAGATTCTCAGATTACTTGCTCAGTACACAGACTGAATAGGTATGGTGAAAGGATACAACCCTGACGCACACCTTTCCTGACTTTAAACCATGCAGTGTTCCCTTGTTCTGTTCGACAGACTGCCTCTTGATTCATGTTCAGATTCTTCAAGAGCACAATTAAGTGTTCCAGAATTCCCATTCTCTACAATGTTATCCATAATTTGTTATGATCCACACAGCTGAATTTCCTAGCATAGTCAATAAAATACAGGTAAACATCTTTCTGGTATCCTCTGCAATCAGCCAGGATCCATCTGACATCAACAATGATATCCCTGGTTCCACGTCCTCTTCTAAACCCAGCTTGAATCTCTGGCAGTTCCCTGTCGATACACTGCTGCAGCTGCTTTTGTATGATCTTCAGCAAAATTTTGCATATATGTGACATTAATGACATTGGTAATTTCCGCATTCGGTTGGATCACCTTTCTTGGGAATAGGCATAAATATGGATCTCTTCCAGTTGGCTGGCCAGGTAGCTGTCTTCCAAATTTCTTGGCATAGATGAGCGAGCACTTCCAGTGCTGCATCTGTTTGTTCAAACATCTCAATTGGTATTCCATCAACTCCTGGAGGCTTGTTTTTTGCCAATGCCTTCAGTGCAGCTTGGACTTCTTCCTTCAGTACCACCAGTTCCCGATCATATGTTATCTCCTGAAATGGTTGAACGTCGACCAATTCTTTTTGGTACAGTAATTCTGTGTATTCCTTCCATCTTCTTTTGATGCTTCCTGTGTCGTTTAATAATTTTTCCTGTAGAATCCTTCAGTATTGCAACTCGAGGCTTGAATTTTTTCTTCAATTCTTTCAGCTTGAGAAATGTTAAGCGTGTTCTTCCCTTTTGGTTTTCTATCTCCAGGTCTTTGCACATGTCATCATAATATTTTACTTTGTCTTCTCGAGCCGCCCTCTGAAATCTTCTGTTCAGCTCTTTTACTTCATCATTTTTTCCTTTTGCTTTAGCTACTAGACGTTCAAGAGCAAGTTTCAGAGTCTCTTCTGACATCCATTTAGGTCTTTTCTTTCTCTCCTGTCTTTTTAATGATCTCTTGCTTTCTTCATGTATGCTGTCCTTGATGTCATTCCACAACTCGTCTGGTCTTTGGTCATTAGCGTTCAACATGTCAAATCTATTCTTGAGATGGTTTCTAAATTCAGGTGGGATATACTCAAGGTCATACTTTGGCTCTCGTGGACTTGTCTGAACTTGCATATGAGTAACTGATGGTCTGATCCGCAGTCGGCCCCTGGCCTTGTTCTGACTGATGATACTGAGCTTTTCCATCATCTCTCTCCACAGATGTAGCTGATTTGATTCCTGTGTATTCCATCTGGCAAGGTCCATGTGTACAGTTGCTATTTATGTTGGTGAAAAAAGGTATTTGCAATGAAGTTGTTGGTCTTGCAAAATTCAATCATGTGATCTCTGGTATCATTTTTATCACTAAGGCCATATTTTCCAACTACCGATCCTTCGTCTCCAACTTTCGCATTCCAATCACCAGTAGTTATCAGTGCATCCTGATTGCATGTTCAATACATTTCAGACTGCAGAAGTTGGTAAAAAGCTTCAATTTCTTCATCTTTGGCCTTAGTGGTTGGTACGTAAATTTGAATAATAGTAGTATTAACTGGTCTTCCTTGTAGGCGTATGGATATTATCCTATCACTGACAGTGCTGTACTTCAGTATAGATCTTGAAATGTTCTTTTTGACGATGAATGCAACACCATTCCTCTTCAAGTTGTCATTCCTGGCATAGTAGACCATATGATCGTCTGATTCAAAATGACCAATACCAGTTCATTTCAGCTAACTAATGCCTAGGATATTGATCTTTATGCGTTCCATTTCATTTTTGACAATTTCCAATTTTCTTAGATTCATACTTCATGCATTCCAGGTTCCGATTATTAATGGATGTTTGCAGCTGTTTCTTCTTATTTTGAGTCACGCCACATCAGCAAATGAAGGTCCCGAAACTTGACTCCATCCATGTCATTAAGGTCGACTCTACTTTGAGGAAGCAGCTCTTTTCTGGTTGCACTTTGAGTGCCTTCCAACCTGAGAGGCTCATCTTCCAGCACTATATCAGACAATGTTCCATTGCTATTCATAAGGTTTTCACTAGCTAATTCTTTTCAGAAGTAGACCACTGGGTCCTTTTTTCTAGTCTGTCTTAGTCTGGAAGCTCAGCTGAAACCTGTCCACCCTGTGTGACTCTGCTGGTATTTTAATACCGGTGGCATAGCTTCCAGCATCACAGCAACACACAAGCCCCCAGACTACGACAAACTGGATTATAGGGAATATAAGGATATATAAATGTTTAACAAAGTAAGATTAGCCCTCATTTTTCAACTCACGAATCTTACTTGCTTCAAAATTTAATGCAATCATTTACTTACTAAACCAATATTTATTATATACCTACTTTTCTTCATTTGGTGGGCCACCACACTGGTGTGAGGATTCCAGGCACATCATCAGGTCTTCCCTACCTCCAAAGTGGTTGGGATTTCTAAATACCATCCTACTCCTGATATAACTCTTAGGTGACCAGAGTCCAGGCCTTGGCTTTTCAAAGCAGTGGGCTCTAAAATAGAATGTACACACCTGGCCTGGCAGTACTTAAGACAATCTAAGGGGCATGGGAAATTTTCTTTTTCATCTTTAAAATTTTTCTTTATAAATTTTACATTTTATGATGTATTTATGTGTATGACTATGCTGTATACATATAGTATGTATGTTTTATTCGTATGTTGTTGTGTGCCATCGAGTCAATTGGTTCATGCTCCCATTTTCACTGTTAAGTGTGCATAATTTAAAATATCTGGAGACCATGCTTTATAGCATGGTGGTATAAATGGCATTAACAAATAGTATTAACAAATGACAAAGAATATTTCAGTGAGACACAAAATTTAAGAGAAATTCTGAAGTCCTAAGATTGCCACTGAGCCAAACGTAGATTTTCTGAATTTAGCATGCAAATCTTTGTTAAAGGGTTCAAGAAAGTCAATTCTTATTTAGAAACACTAGCCAAGAAAAACTTCTTAGTTCTACATCCTTAATGTGGGAAAGGAAAGGTTGTGGAAAACACACTCTAAATTCTTCAGATTTTTTAATCTTTGATTAAGCATGTGTGAATGATATAAATCTAGCCAAGCAAAGCAAAGAAAAATCATAGTAATAAATTGTACTCAATTAGCTCCCAAAACAAAGCAGAAACTGAGGTTTAAGTTAAAGAAAACTGAAATAAACAAAACTATGATTTTGACTGAAGAATCAGTGTCATGATTTTGTTGAACTCATAATGTAATTTTTATTAGTTCATTTTCTAAACTGAAGTTTACTGCTATCTTTAAGGTGAAACAGTGTGAGATCATTATTAATCCCATTTCCTAAAACTGAGTATTGTTTTCTAAAAGCAATAGTGCTAAGTATCAACTATCTGTCGATCTAATGGCAACACTATAGTCAAGTTTACATTCTAATCATAAATACGTTTCCAAGAATATTGGAATCTAACAATTTCTAACAGTGGTACATATAAAAATGTTATCTGTTGAACTTTCAATAAACTTTTGTTTATGCTACATATAGTAATTTAAAATTAATAGTTCTTTTTTCATAAAACAGTGTTTTTACCTATCTATCTATGTATTTTTAGGCAGTAAGTGGTGTGAGTTTGTTTTAGGTCTTCAAGAAAAGAATCTTCAAGAGTTTCCTCTCTTTCCTTGACCCCAGATACAGCCTTTTTTGATGAGTCCTCCTAACACTGCAGAAAATTCCTGCCCAGAAGATATGTTCTTATTGAGAAACAAACATAAAAGGTAAAAAATACTCCCCAGTGGGCACTTGGGGTAGAAGTAAACATTTAAAGATCTTTACCTCCATAATATCTTTGATAAAAGGTGTCCATCGAGAAAGCTGAAAAGTTTCTTCTGCAGATCGATCCTTTCTTGGTGGTCTTACCTGTTGAGACTAATATAATGAGAGGATAAACTTAAAAACCAGTTATTTTATTCAGTGATATTCTCTTATTATGTTTTCTAACAAAGATATGTAATTTACAGCATATACTATGTTGTATTTGACAAAAAACAAAGAGTGAAACTGCCTACTTAAAACAAAAACCCAGAATAGTTTGGTCATATAACTTCACCAAACAGCATCTTGTGCTTTAATGCTAAAATTCATAATAGTATCAAAAAATAGGTTTACTCAAAATACTATAAAACTTGATGGGAAAGAGTGAGATTCTAAATAGAGTCCTTTCAAAATTTGACTTTGAATCTAAGTTTTGTTAAGCAAGAGAACATACAGTTATTCTCTGTGCTGTATTATAGTTAAAGGTTAAATGTATAACTAAAATCTGATAATTGCTATAAATGAATCATAAAGAGAAAAGCATAAATAGCAGATAGCAATAGAAGCTGTAAAATATTAATTCACTAGAAAAGCATATACGTCCAAATTACTGACATATGGAAAAGAAAACAACATTTTACTTAACAACCAAAATCTATAGAGTGACATTAAGAAGACTGTCCACATGGATTACCACATAACAAAACATATTTAATGCAAACCATCACACATGCATATTAACATGTATATAAGCATGTACAGAATACAAGATTTCTTACCTGGGGGACAATGGGAACACCAAGGTAACTCCAGTTACGAATCATGTCACTCTCATTTTCTATCTTTACATTCTGGACCAACCTGTCCAAATTTTCTTCCGTCGTTCCTTAGGTAAGTAAAAATGTGAGTGCACAATCCCATAACTGCTACTGTAATCATTTTTAGGTGTTAGATGGTACCCACAAATAAAGCTTTTAAATAAAAAGTAAACAAATTATATCTCTTTCAATCTTCTCCCAATTTCATATTTTTCTTTTTATTCATCTCAACCAACTTCAGCTACTACCTTTGAATTTTCTAAGATTGTCTGGTGAGCAAAGTAAACCACTTATTTAAAAGTTATTTTAGAGCTGGGTATTTTAATACATTCACAAAAATAAATAAAATCTCCATTACCATTAATACTGAAGATATAAAGTAGAATTGCTCTTATTTTGTCATAATTATCATGATTTTTGTTGAGTAGAACTGGAAGGAGTACTCGCATAGAATCTTTCACCTTCTGTCCTTCAGCATCAGTTCCAAGTGCCAGGTCCTTCATGAAAATAAAATGTAGTCAGTGGTCTTTAATCCAACTTAATTTTTAAGTTAAGAGTGTCTATTATTAAATCTTGTCAAACTTTAATGGAACACTAATGACATTTCACAGGAAAATCATTTATAAACTACTGATTGTAAAAAATGCAAAATGTAAAAAATAAATCAGAAAAGAAGAAAATCATTAAACTTGTGCTATCCAATACGGTAGCCATTAGGCACTTGTGGCTACTAAGCACTTGAAATGTGGCTAGTCTGAATTAAGATGTAATATAAGTATAAATAAGGAGCCCTGGTGGTGCAGTGGTTAAGTATTCGGCTGCTAACCAAAAGGTTGGTGGTTTGAACCCATCAGCCGCTCCGCAGGAGAAAAGATATGGCAGTCTGCTTCCATAAAGATTACAGTCTTGGAAACCCTAAGGGGAAGTTCTACTCTGTCCAACAGGGTCGCTATGAGTTGGAATCGACTTGATGGCAATGGGTTTATAAGTAAGTGTAAATGTAAGATTTTGAAAACTTAGTATTGAAAAAAGAATGTAAGATATATCATTAATAATTTTTATATTGACTACGTGTTGAAATGATAACATTTTAGGTGTACTGGGAATAAGATATTACAATCAACCTCACTTATTTCCTTTTATGTTTTTAATGTGACTACCCAAAAATTTAAAATTACATGTGTCTTGCATTATTATTTCCAGTAACCAGTACTGATCTGAACAGTTGAGGCATTACACTCACTCACTTATCCACATGGTTAGTTTCCAAAGACCAGGTTGTTATGTGAAAGTGGATTTTTTTATTTTGTTTTCAGAATATCCATCTGTCCAATTTTTTCATTTAGAAACTATGATCATAGGAAATAATAGTTAAGATTTCCTGATGTACTCATCACTGTGACGAGTCCAGTTATGGATTATTCCTCTGCAGAGAAGGAGGCTTGGAGGAGACAAAGCTGGATAAAGTCGGGCAATGTGGCTGGAGGGCCCACAGCTTAACTACTTTACCTTCCTCCTATGCTAGGCCAGAGCTTCCCTTGCAGAGCTGCCTCTAGAGCTCCACTCCCACCTCTAAAATCCCTGTGTTCACAATCCTGAAGCCTGCTCTGCCCTCTACTAGAGTGCTGGGAGCCTGGTCACACACCGGACCCCACTGAGGCAGAGGCTTCAGGCCCAGTTCAGCTCACTTTGGGATGTCATTAAACTCACACACATTTCTTCCGAACACCCTCTCCGATGCCTCTTTCTTTCCTCCCTTCCCACCCCACTGCAATTCTGAGCTGCAGAGCCTCAGGCTGCAAAGGAGCTGGGAATGCAGAACAGGCGCCCACTGGCTCCGTGCTGCCTGCGCGTGTGTCTGGAGGCTGTGGTCATGCAGGAGGCTGGCCTTGCACGGCAGCTGGACGGGCACCCCCACAGGCAAGAGGAAGCAGAGGGCGCGGGGCAGCACGGCCCAGTTTCCCGAGGCCCTCCTCAAGGAAGGGGATGCTCCAGAGCTGTTGCCTCCATGCCTGCCACCTTGTTAATGCACCAAACAGTCTGATAGTAGATTTTTTACTATTGTCATCAATGCAAAATGTTGGATAACGAGATAGTTGGTAAGTGAGCAGCAGGTGTATTTAAAAACAGCAAAATGCGCCTACACAGTGCTCTGAAGGGTGCTACATAAAATATTGTGTTTCCAGAGAAGTTCTGCCAACGTTACCCCAAATGATACTTCAAAAACTTAAATCATCCCAAATCAACCAGAAATGCATAATCACAGATAAGGAAGGGCTGCTTACTATGATTCTGTATAGCTGCTTGTTAATGTGAGTGGGTATGGTGCAATGGGTTTCTTTTATGAGGCCTTTCTGACCCAAGGTTTGCAATTCTCCCAAAATGATTGGTCGGGTTGCAATCTGCCAAAGGATTGGTCGGTTTGCTATCCACACAAGCGGCTTGCAAGAATTGGTCAGTTTGCTATCCACATTAGTGGCCTTGCAAGGATTGGTCAGTTTTTTATCAGCCAAAGTGGCTTGCAAGGATTGGAAGGTTTGTTATCCACTTAAGTGACTTGCAATTCACCCAACAGGATTGGTCGGTTTACAATCTGCCTAACGGATTGGTTGGTTTTAGGAAAGCCACACCTTGAAATTGACAAGGAGTCTGCCTATATAAGAGGTCAATTTCACAGAGGTTATTTAGGGACCTCCTGATCAAAAAGAGCCTGGAGAGGAGTACCTCCTTTGGACTCAGGGTCCCTGTGCTGAGAACCTAACTGAAACCAAAACCAAACCCACTGCTGTAAAGTGGATTCTGACTCATAGTGACCTTATAGGAGAGAGCAGAATTGTCCTACAGGGTTTTCAAGGCTGTAATCTTTACAGAAGCAGACTGCCACATCTTCCTCCCATGGAGCAGCTGGTGGTTTGAACCGCGAGCCTTTTGGTTAGCAGTTGAATGCTTTAACAACTGTGTCATCAGGGTTCCCTGAGACTTCCAGACCTCGGTAAAAGAACTGTAATACAGGCCAGGGGCTGTAACACTGAGCTCATAACACAAAAGAGGTCCAGAAGGGGCCCAGTGACAGAAAGAGCAGTCAGGATGGTGGAAGTGGGAGAGCTGGCCTACAGAAAAGATGGTGACAATGGGCAGAGTTGGCCCACAGAGTGGAGCTAGCCACCTCTGGGCAGGAGGTCAGCAATGGAGCTGGGCATCTCCGGGCAGGAGACTGCAAATGGAGCTGGGCACCTCTGGGTAGGAGGTCACCAATGTGGCTGGACGCCTCGTGAAGAGGAAGCAGCCGCAGTCTGGGCTGATGCCGGCAGACGCCTGATCAGAGCAAGCAGCAGTGTGGGGGCCGAGCTGGCCTGCCTTAGCAGCAGCGGATGCCCCAGCTATGCTGACAGTTGTAACACTAAGGCCCAAGAGAAGGCCTGTGTAGAGAGGGCCAAGAAGAGGCCTGTCCTGAGGGGACCAAGAGAAGGCCCACAGAGGCCTTGGCATACACTGTACAGGGGTTGCCCATAAAAGTTTTGCCTTGGGAGCTATTGTAATGCCAACCTAACCCTGGCACCGGCCCAGGGTTGTCCCAAAGCTGGTGGTTGAGAGCTGGACAAATAAGTACAGAAAGCTAGAGCCAGCCAAGAAAAGCCACTGAGAGAGACAGAGAGAGAACGAACACAGCCATGCTGTACCTGAACTAGCTGGTGACACACCTGCTGACACCTTATCCATGGTATGCCCGCCCAGTGACACAGAAATGGACATGCGTAACTTGGGAAGGGTGAGAGGGTCCCCTTTTAGACATAAGCGGGTTCCTCTCCTACGATGCTAAGTGAGGTGCTTGTAGGGGTAGAGGAGACCAATTTACCTCAAGTCTGTTCCTGTTGTTTACTGTTTGCTTTCTATAAGTAATCTGTTCCTATTGTTTACTGTTTACCTTCTATAAATAATGGCTTTCAATTGGCAACATTTTGTAAAGTGTCTTTGTGTGTGCGACCCAATCAGACTGGATAGCAGAGTTCTTACCCTAGCAGTCTCATGATTGCATGGGGTTTAGAGGTACAATCTGTGTGTATACATGCACACAGTTCCGTGGGGAATGATACATTAAATACTTCTTAGGTGGGCCCCCCCAAGAGAGATTCTGTGATTCTGTGAAATTAACCACTGTGTCCCACAAAAAGTTAGGTTTTAACTTACAAAAATTTCATTCTGGAAATCTATTATGAACATAGGTGTTTCTGACTTTGCACGTACCTGTTCAGTTTTGCAGAGCTTTTCTATATTAGCTTTGAATTTACTCATGCAGTCTTCTGCTAAATTAAGATGGACAACTTGCTGAAAAAAAAAGAAGGAATCAATCATTTAAAACATTTCAATTTCTTTTTGTGCAACTGGGTAATATAAACTTTTGAGTGGCCTTAAAAAAAGTGTTAGGTGGAGAGGTTACATTTAAGCAAGGGAAATAGCTCAAGAAAAAGAAAAGTGAGAATTAGTATGATCTACAGGGGACAATCAATAGACAAACAGAAATAAGATGGAAGGGTTGAACTGCTACTGAGTTTGTGAGTGATGAAAAATAATCTAAGAAAAGAATAGTAAGGCACTGGACGTCTAACAGAGAAAGTATGAATTTATATTACTGATTCTTGCCTAAGGTGAAACATGATAAAAAATGTGTAAAGATTATTCTTACAGTGATTTGTAAAAAAGAATGGGACAACAGAAAAGTAGTTTACCTGCCCACACAGCTTACCTGCTCTTAATTCTACTAACATAAAACTATTAATTTAAAGGAAAATGTAATACAACAACCACTCATTAATCCAGTGTGGAATTTTCTTATGATATGGATAAATACTAAACTTATTTTGTCTAGCAGTTCAAGACAAAAATATAAAAGAAGTATAAGTTGGATTTGGATAAATCTAGATGATATATATAGAAAACATTATTGGGAAGCTTAGATATTTGGGGTATTTTCACAGACCTAGAGTAAGGTTTTAGCAGACAACTAACACCAAGTATTCCATGGCACACACTACTAAGTCTGACTACAGGGCTGGATGGACCAATAAACTAAAAACAATAAGGCATCTCACATACAATATTGCTTACCTTAGTAATCTGTTTACGGAAATGGGGCATCTTTTTCATCAGTTGGGAAAGAGCACTAAGTGACGTCTAGGAAAAAGCAAACTTTTTTAGGTAAATGTATGGTTCAGTTATTCTATAACTTTTAAATCCTGGAGTTTTAAATATTACCAAATCTGGTTAGTTTACTGAACACTTAACAAATTTTTTAAGAAAACAAATTCATGAGGTTTCCAGTTTTAGTCATGATGAAGTAGCCAACATCAAAACTATACACCCGCCATAAGCAAAACAATTGGACAAAATAAATAAAACAACAGTTTCCAGGTAATGGATAATAAATAGCTCGTGGCTGAGATCCTTGTGCAATGGGAAGCACAAAAGGTGATCTGCAATCACTCTGGCCTTTTTCCTGGGGACATTTTCAAATCACAGTAGAAGGAAGTAGAGTCTAGTAGAAAGCAACAGAAGAGGAAGAAAAGGTCAGCATTTGAGGCTGCTGAGGTACATTTGGGAGGCAGGTACTAGAAAGGATGGAGTCAGCTACAACGCAACCCAAAAATGTGCAGAGGTGTTACCCTTGGATTCCTGGCTAAATCTTAACTGGGATGTGTGCAGGGCAATACTCTGGAAGGCCAAGCAGAGAACAACTGCAGGGGGGTGGGGTGGGGGTGGAAGGTGGTTAACAATGGACAGAGATTTTAAAAGTCTCATGGTGCTAAAGAAACACTGGCATTTTGACCTAGATCAAGAAGAGAGAACGGGGTGAGTACTCTTTACATTCAGTACTAGGATTATGCCTTAGTTCTAAGGGTAAAATCATAACAAAACATAACACAAAGTCTCAACAGAATCAAGGCCATTCATCAGCAAAGTTAATTGCCTGCTAGAACAAAATGCAATACTCTTTGTAAAGAAACAGAACATAGGGTCTCTGCAATGTATCATCCATGATGTCCAGCATACAATAAAAAATAACTAGACCAGTGAAACAGGAAAAAGTAAACAATACTCAAGTGATAAAACAGTCAATAAAAGCAGACCCAAGATGCTCCAAATGTTGGAGTTAGCCAACAAGGACTTCAAAATAACACACTTATATTAAGGAAGACAGAGGAAAAGATGGAGTAAACGGATGAAAACATGGAGTAGTTCAACAGAGAATCAGAATTTATTAAAAAAAAAAAAAATCCAATGAAGGTCCTAGAACTAAATACAATATTTTAAATTAATAATAAAATAAATGACTCACATACATTGCTGGTGGGAATGTAAAATGGTACAGGCAGTTTGGAAAACAAGCTGGTAATTTCTTATGAAGTTAAACATACATTTACCATATGACTCAGCAATCCAATTCCTAGGTATTTACCCAAGTGAATGAAATGTCTGTTTACACAAAAAGGTGAATGTTTATAGTTGCTTTGTTCATAACTGCTAAAAACTTGGAACAATCCAGATGTCTTGCAACTAGTCAACAGAATACAAACTGAGATACATCTATACAATGGAATACTATTCAGTAGTAAAAAGTAATGAAAATACTATTACATGTAACATGGATAAATCTTAAGTGCATTATGCTAAATGAAAAAGTCATACTGTATTATTCCATTAATATGACATTATGAAAAGGGAAAAACTACAGAGACAGGAAACAGATCAGTGGTTAACAGGAGGTGGAGGCTGGATAGCAGGATTGTCTAAAAAGGGCATGAGGGAATTTTCTGGGGTGACAGAATTGTTATCTTGACTGTGGTGTGGTTACATGACAGTATGCATTTGTCAAAACTCAGAATCGTACATTAAAAAGGGGAGAATTTTGAACACATTAAAGGGGTTTAAATAACAGACTGGACACGACAGAACACAGAAGCAGACGACTCAAAGTTAGGTTAATAGAAAATATCCAGTTAAAGCACAGAGAGGGAAAAAAACTGAAAATAAAAAGAACAGAGTGTAAGAGATGTAGAAGATAGTCAAAAGATCTAAAATACATGCAGTTCGAGTCCAAAAGGTGAGTACAGAATGATAAAAAGCAAGAGGAGAAAAAACAAGGGCTGAGAATTTTACAAATCTGATGAAAGTTATCAACCTAGAGATTCAAGAAGCTCAGCAAAGCCCAAGGATGAAAACTAAGAAAATCACACCATAGTCAGGAATATCATGGTCAACCTGCTAAAATTAAAAGATAAAGATAAAATCCTTAAAAAGACACCTTATCTTCAAGGAAACAACAAGATGACAGCTGACCTTTTAACAGAAACGATGGTACCCTGGAGGTAAGTATTGAAATCTTTAAACTGTTGAAAGAAAAAAACAAAAATCAAAATAAACTGCCCACCTTAAATACTAAATCTAGCAAAAAATGTAAAATGGAAAAAAATGTAAAATAAAGATGTTCTCAGACAAAAAAGAAAGCTGAGATAATTCAGTCACCCTAGATGGAAAAAGTGAACAATAAGGAATAAACAGCACCAGAATGGATAACTATATGGGTAATATAAAAATTTACAGAACTATTAAAGTAAAAATAACATATTTAGTTTATAACAGATACTAAAGTAAAATACATGACAAAAGCACAAAAGAGGAGGCGGGTAAATGAAGTTAAATTAATATAAGGTTCTTGCATCATTAGGGGCATGACAATAGTATAACAGTATTTAATACAATAGTATTACTATAGATCGATAAAAAAAGAACGAAAAGACTGAAATAAGCAACACAGACGGTACTCAAAAATACAATGCTGAGTGAAAGAAGCCAGACAAAAAAAGAACACATGCTATATCATTCCATTTACATGAAGTTCAAGAACATAGAATATTAATGTATGGTGACAGAACTCAGAATAGAGTTTATCTCTGGCAGGGTACTGACTGGCAAGGGACAAGAGAGAACGTTCTGGAATAATGGAAATGTTCTATTTCTTCATATAGGTGGTGTTTCCACAGGTATACACATACATAAAAATTCTTCCAGATATACACTTGAGATTTGTGCACTTTACTTAAATTACACCTTAACACAAAAAAACCAACAGTGCATTGATGAAACTGGCTTAATTGTCTTTTAAATAAACTCTAATGAAGCAAAACAGACAAAATACTACTGTTCAAAGTAGGTAATGGGAGTATATGGGAGTATATGGGAGTTTGTTTTTTCTTCTTTTGAGTATGTGAGAAATTTCCCAAGGTGAAATGTTAAACAAATAAAATAAAAATTTAAACAAATTTTAAAATTCCCCTTTATCATTAGTTTGAAAGTTAAATAAGACTCTTACCTTTCCTTCTGTTGCTTTCTTTGTTGATGAAATTTCTTTCATAAGCTTGGGAATTTCCCTGTCAAATTGTGAGAGAATTCTTTAAATTTCTAAGGTGTACTACTTTACTACAGAACTATTTTAAGGTTACAAAATGCACTATTATGTATTCAGTGCCTAAGAAATATGGAATAAAAGTCAAAATAGGTTCACATACTCTAGTACTACTGCAATATGCCGATGTCGAATTCTGACCCAGAGGTCATCATCTTCCTCAAGGACTGCCTCCTTTTCTTTCTCATCTGTTTTATATCTACAAACAGAAAGAAGCAAAAAAACTTTTGGGATTTTTTTCCTCCAAAAGTAGAAGAAATATTTTTACAAACCATTTTAAGATATAGCTCAAGAAACTGAAAACTACACATATTTAATCCACTATTTTAGGGGGATAATACAGACCTACTCAAAACTAAAATTCAGTGTTATGCCTACACCAAGGCATTTTTAAACTGTAGGTTTAGCTGTTATTGTTAGAGAGCTTTAGTTCAGCAGAATAGTATCTAATGAAACAAAATTTAACCTACTACAATCAGCTTTAAGAACAAGATTGAATATACTAATGATACGTACTTTAACTGCTTAAAACACTAACTTGATGTGTTAAAACCCTCAGCACAACTATCAAACATCCATTAAGAATAGCAATGTCACCCCCAAAATAGCCTATTAAATATTGAAGGTATTTCAGAGTTGGTATGAAATTCACAAACAATATAGATCATCTGTTTCTATATCCTTCCTCAACCCGATAACCACTTCTCCTTTAAAGAATGGGAAAGGAAATAACAAAAACTAATGTCACCATAAAAAAATGTGACAGCTTTAATGGAATCTATTGAAATGAGCAGCAATTCATGGAGGACATGAAACTACTCAAAACTAGAAGGGGCTTTTTCTGACTGCTTCTCCAAATGTAATTTCTCCCTTCTCTTTTTATGCAGACACCCTCCTTCCATTTGTGGAGCTCGAGGATGTTCAACTATCCTTGGGACTGTCAATTTTCCTGAGCCAACATAAGGATTGCATTGCACTTTCTGAGCTCTGGACTGAAAGCATAAACTTCTGCTGTATAAATATGATCACTTCCAGAGCCAAAAGACTATAGGTCCATAAAACCATTCACCGGCATGGTCTTAATTATACAAGTCCAAAGGTAGAATGAGTGTGCTTAACTAGAAGACTACGTTAAGAATGGAAGCCTTCTGGTCATTTAAAATGACACTTTGTACTTACACCATACCTTTGACTTCAAGGTGATTTATCAACAAAGATTAGAGCAGCAAGCCTGACAATATTCAAAGATTATGACAATCCCATTTTAAGAGGAAATTTAAAGAGGTTACCAAGATGAAGAACAGAATCTAGCTATTTAGAATTTCCGGTTTTGTATTCTGTTTCATCAAACATTGTGATGAAGCACAAACCAGAGGCCATGTGATCCCATCTAGTCTTATCCCTGGACTTTTCTGCATCATGAAAAAAGGGGTATAGCTATTTGTTTTTTTAAAGTAAGTCTCTCTCTTACTCTTAAAAAATTAAAGCTTGCTTTGCTTGTCTGCAAACCTAGGCAGATAAATATTTTAAACACTAGGCAGAAATGTCTGAAATCTATAGTCTGCAACCAAATCCTTTAGTGTCCTGCAATTTATTAATCCTTTCTAAATCTCTTGAGCAATGCAGGTTTAGAGACCTAAAGGATGACAGAGGTAAATAATATCCTTTCTGAAAATTCTGAATAAACTACTTGAAAGTTTTATCAGAAAAATAACTACATGAGTGCATATTGACATGAGTATAAGAACTATCACCCATGTTGATTTCTCTGTCATCTGACACTAACACAAATAACATTAAGAAGAACTCACAGAAACCAGGATTTCACCAGAATGCAAATAAAAATACAATAGAAAATACAAAATTAGTTTAGTAATGCTTGGTTTAAGAAAAAATATTAGGTATTGGAATTATCACAAACGTGTGGATCTTTTTAATCTAATAAAACTGTTAAATTAATTTAAACATAAAATTTCAAAAAACACCAATTTAATTTTCATTTTTACTACTATGTGAAAGGAGTAAATCTTAGCTGAGAAATTCCCATTTAGATTTAGAGATTATTATGCCAAGTAACATACGTATTCAATATATACATACACGCACATAAATGATACACAAAAATACAGTAAAATGGTTCCTTGACAGAAAAGCTATTTTTTCCTTCATTAGCTTTTTATGTGATACTACTTTTAAAGTAAATATGATTTATTATATCAAACTTAAGTTGATAGTAGTACCAAAATGGGAAAGCTGTGACTATTCTCAATAGCCATCCTATTTAGTTTTCTAGTGTTCTAATATTTTTAAATAGATTATATTGACAAGGCACATACACAGATACTTTGGGATACAGGATTCAGAATAATTTCAGCCTAACCAATCTGACTATGGTTTCCACTTTAATGAATATAATAGTGAGCCTGGTATTTACTCTTAACATAAGTGAAAAGTCAAAAATCCACCTGCTTAAATGTAGCTTTGTTGTGGATGTAGTTAAGGAAGCAAATACACCAAAAAGGCTTCAAAGCAGTCAAATTACTCATTAACTTAGAAGGTGAACAAGTTTTAAAGATGATGAGGATAGGGGCAAGGGAACGATAAAGTTTCCAGATAAAAAAGGTACAAGGGCTTTTAGACTTTGGGTGCCCACTCAAATTATTAGACGCTCATATTCTGTCCTGTTTGTATATGCCCTTCAAGTTATACTTGCTTGTATGTATCATTCTCAATCGGTAGTAGATCATATGCCATTGCCTGAAAGGTCAGTTCATGCAGGACAGTGGACACAGGATCAAAGCCACGATCAATTATTAAGAGCTGGGAATGAGTTTTACCCTAAAATAATAAGATGAAAATTATTTTAAGAAACTTAAATTTCTTTGTGTGAACACATTTTTAATTTCTTAGAAAACAAGAGATTTCTCCTAAGCTCTGTCCCGTCTCTCCACAAAAACCACACCAAAAACCTGGTTAATTACCTTGAGAATGTCAAGTTATTTTTTAAAAAAGAAAAATCTGAGTGGTACAATGTGGGGGAAAAAAAAAAAACAAGACTACATAATTAAAAGCTTCCATAATTAAATTAAGAAGCTATACTCAATAATATATTTTGAAAATACCTTAAAAAAAAATAACATTTGGCTTGCACTAAATCTATTTTGTTGTAAATTCAGCTCCATAGACACCAAAACTGATATAAATTATGAGTAAAAGCTACTACTTAAGCTCTTACTTTGTGCTAGACATTGCAAAGTGAGATATTTCATTTATTCTTACAGTAACCCTGTCAGACAGGATTAAATGAGGGCGTTAAGGCTTGAGATTAAGTAATTTACTCAAATCACGTAGTTAGTAAGCGGCAAAATGTAGATTCTAACTCAGGTCTGCTTCACTCCAAAGTCTGTGCTCTAATCATTATCCTATTTAAAAAGATTATATTCGTGCCAGCTAAGATGATAAATCACAATTAAAGTCTTGTTAATCATTAATTCACAAAGAGCATTCATCACTAAACAATGAATTGTGGTGGGAAAAATTGTTAAAGTCAGCATCTTTCATACTTTATTTTAAAAAGTAATAACTTTGGATTATTATTCAAAGCAATAAGAGATTACAACTCATTAGGCAAACATTTCTTGTTTATTTATGTATAGCAATGTAATGATTAAAAGAATATTTTTTAATTAACCTTTCACTCATTTAACTCAACTTTGAGACAGTATGGCATAGTGGTTTAGAGCACAGTCTATGGGATTAGACAGGTCTGGGTTTGAGTCCAGCCTTGACCACTTTCTTGTAAGACTCTGGACAAGCTGCTTAACTTATTTGTAATCTCAGTATCCTTATTTGTAAAATGAAATATAATCATAGAACTTATGCCTGATAGGATTGTTGTAAAGATCAAATGTCATAATACTATGAAACATTTAGCATGGTGTCTGGAAGTCAGTAAGCTCTGAATAAATTGGAGCTATAAATCTTCAGACATATGAGTAGGAAAAACATAGTGTAATATAAGTGCTATACCAGGGCTTAGGGATTGTACCAGTATGGGAGAGGTAGTATCACTTGGCCTAAAGAGCCAGGAAAGCCTTCAAAAGGGAGGTGACATTTTACTAGGACTTTGAAAGAAGAAAAAGTATCAAGTACCTGAGGGATCCATAAATTTCCCAGGCAGAAAGAATAGAGAGGACAAGTTTACTTTTTGTAATTCTGCCTTTTTCCCTTATCGAAATGGCGAAGGACTAAAGGAATATTCACTACTATACTGATCTACGTCTCCTCCTTCATTAAACAAACATTCATTGACTATTATGTGCACCAAGCCGTTCTGTCTTCACAACTACAACCAGAATAAGAGCTTTCACTAGACCTTCAGACCAAAAAACTAGTAACTTTTAAAGTTCTAAACTAAAATTACATCTAAGTTCATACAGTCCATTCCAGCCAACTTGATTTTTTTGGTGAATTTTGTCTTTTTTTCTATGCCTCTGCTCAAAGAATCATATTGTCCATGCAATAAACTCCCTCTTCTATTATGTTAGATTCATTCTTAAAGCTCAAGGCCTCTTCCTTAAGGATGCCTTCCAAGATCCCAGTTAGAGTAACAAAAGTCTGGCCTATGTTCCTAACCTACTGTAACATGGCTTCCTAACCCTCTGGCACCACATCTTTCAGTCTCCTCATTCTCTAACTCATTCCTAAATGCTGGTGTTTTTCCAGGTTCCAATCTTATCCTTCTATCACTTTATACCATCTTAATAAGAGATAGCAACAGCTGCCACTTATTAAACTCGTATATGTGCTAAACACTTACATACTTACATGTCACCTCACTTAATCCTCACACCAACCAAGCAAGGCAGATATTTTATCAAATCCATTTTATAGATGGAAAAACAAACTCACAGTAAATAATGTGTCCAAGGTCATGGAGCTAGTAATAATACAAATACCTACATTTACTAAATGTTTACTCAGTGGCAAGCATTATTCTAAGAACTTTACATGTATTAACCCACTTAATCCTCTCACTACCTGATAAGATAGGTATACTTTTATTATCCCCGTTTTGTAGATTAGGAAACTGAGATACAGAGAAGTTACACAATTTGCCAAAATTGGTGTAACTATGAATTAAATGACAGAGCCAGGATTTGGACACAGTGCCAACTTCAAAACCTGTATTTTCTCCCATTAAACCACACTGTCCATTATGATGTCCACTACCACCTATGTTACTGATTTCCAAATCACTATTAACAAATGAATAAACAACAGTGTCTTTGGTTTATAAAGAAATAAGACTTTATGCATAATGACGATTTGCCTTTAATACAGTACCTTTATTTGGCTCTTTTCATCAATTTTGTAGTAGTTTTCAAGTTTTTTTTCAACAAGCTGTGCAAGCTTATTGGCATTATCTAAAGGTTTGCTAGAAATGAAAAAAATGTTCAAACAGTTATCATTTTTTTAGGAAATATGTTACAGTATCATAAAGCTAAATTTTAAAATTAAACCATAAAATATATTAACCTAAAAATTTTTATAAACATAGAAAAGTTCAGACAATAATATATAAGATATATATTCTATTATACCCATATGTCTGGAATTTAAGGAGCCCTGGTGGTGCAGTGGTTAAGCACTCATCTGCTAACTAAAAGGTTGACTGTTCAAATCCACCAGCCACTCTGTGGGAGAAAGATGTGGCAGCCTGCTTCCATATAGATCTACAGCCTTAGAAACCCTATAGTGCAGTCTGCTCTGTCCTATACGGTCGCTATGAGTTGGAATTGACTTGACAGCAGTGGTTTTGGTTTTATATATGTAAATATACATGGGTCCCCATATATATATATATATATATATATATATATATATATATATATAAAATATGTATTTTACATATATTGGATGAGTTTAAAGTTTTTCATAAATGGTATATTAACATGTTTTTGAGATCTATTCATGTTGGTATATATATCAAATTTATTCATTTTAGCTCCTATATAGTATTCTATCATATGATTATACTGGATTCTATGTATTCATTCCCCTACTGATGAACATTTAAGTCATCCTAAATTTTGTACTATTAGAAACAATCCTGAAACAAATATCTTTGCACATGTTTCTCTAGGGTATATTACATCTAAAAGTACAATTTCTGGGTTATAGGGTTATGTATATTTTCATCTCTTCTAGATATTACAAAATTACTCTCTAAATTAGTTGACCAATTAACCCTTCCACCTGTTCTCTAACACTTGGCCAACTTTCTAATATAGTCTCTTGCATAAACTCTTGTGTATCACTATCAACTACAATGATAAATTTCTACTCTAAATTATAACTTCATGACCAGTGGTATTAGTATTAACTTCCAAGTCTATAAGAAAAATCTTCGAAAAGCTTCTTCAACTATCATGCCAACCTCAAAAATGGAGGGTCTCATTCTGAGGGCTTTACAGTATTAAAGACTCTTTAGGTTATATACCTTAAAAATTAATAAAATGGCAACTATAAAAATAAAGAGTAATTCATAACTTTATTTTGCTTTAAAATATTTTCAAAAGGAAATTACTTCATGTTAGAACTACACTTTAAAGTCCATAATGTGTAAGGAATACTTTGTACAAGAACTTCACAGAATTTTAAAAGCTTGGATTATTATTTAATTATTAACAGTAACTCAAAACAGGTCCCATAGGTAAGCTGTTAAATTATAAATTTGTTATGTCTGGTCGTTTCCCTGAATATAACCAATCACCAACAGCAGAAGTCTGGGCAGAGACTGAAATCTAGCAGGAGCTCTTAGCTCAGCTCCACAGAAGTTCAGAATGTAATTAGCGTTATCATTTATAAGAAAAATAATGTTGCTAGTTCTGAGGTATGAGTAAAGAGCTTGTTTGGTAATATCTGAATTAAGGAAATTTACTTTATTTTTTTCCTAAGTAATTAACAGTGGATTTCAAAAAAACAGCTAAGTTAAGAGTAATGTAACTTGAATGCAAAGTAAAACATGAATTTGAAATTAAGCAATTCAGCCAGCTAACTTGACAAATGCCAACATTCAAATTAAAGAACCTTTTAAAAGAGAACTGAATAATAACACTTAGTAGTAGTAGTAGCAGTATAGTATTATTTGCTATTACTATTTTTATTACTGCCATATACTGTTCTGAGTGCTTTACAGCTATTAACTCCTTTAATCTGTCCGCTAAAAGTCAGGACAGTGGTCACCTCCGGGGAGAAGAAAGGGGGTGATGACTGAGAGGGATTCACAGGGGGGCTCTGAGGTGCTATTAATGCTCTGTTTCTTGACCTGGGTGGGATCACATGGTTGTATACACTTTGGGATGATTTACTGAGCCATATACATACAATTTATGTGCCTTCAATAAACTTCACTTAAAAAAAAAAAAAAGCAAATGAAGACACATAGTATAAAAGCCAAACTTCAGCTCCTAAAACAAAACAAAACAAAAAAACCCCAAAGATCTACTTAGAATGGCCACTGGGCTTAGATGCTATAACAGGTATCCAGAGAATATGGTCATTTAAATTTGGTGGAAATTAATGATAACATATTAAATATAAGACTGTATTCCCTAGATGATGACAAAGACACATTTCCTCCATGCTTTCCTTAAACTCATGAAAAAAATATCTCAAATTTAAGCTCTGAAATTCAGCAACAAAGGCTATTCGTTAGTTTGAAACTTAAGCCTTAAATTTTAATCTCCTAGATGTAGCGCATAATTTTTCAAGGAAAAATAAATTTTGCAAACCAATACATATAACAGCAACATCACTTACCTGTATAATGGACAGCAAATAGAAAACATAACATGTCCAGATGCTAGTTAGTGTCCTACCTTTTATATCTTACTCCAGGGTTTTCATCCAGGGTGGCACATACTGTAACTATCTGCTCAGCCATCGTTTCCATAACGGCATCTTTTCCGTTTGCATTACTAGGGTCTGGACTGTAACAGTAATAGAATGCATCTGGTACATCAAGAGTATACACCTAAATTAGACCAAAAAAAGGCACACTGTCAAGTCGGAGACTTGATTAAAAAAGTATATTAAGACAAATGCTGCTATTATTTGGGATATTAAAAAAAAAAAACTTGCACTAAACATGCTGTTTCCTGAAACAACTGTGTCTTTACCTTAATCAAATCTCATTTTCTCTGCCATCTTGATTTCATCCTTTATTTCTTTTCTCTCTCTCCTTTCCTGCTTAGTCTACCTCTCTCCTTCAATTCTTGTTTCTTATACAGATTGTACTGTTTGCTTTTCACTACCTGTGCAATAGATGAAGGAATCTGAGGTAGTCAAACTAAAATAAAAATCTAATATCTGGTACAAAGAAATATAACAAAGCAAAAATTGGCCTATATATTAGACATACGTTAAAAATCTTAACCAAGTAGAGAATAATCTAGAAATTTTCCACAGACGATATATACATATCTTTCAATTCTTTAGCTTATATTCCTTGTGTCCTTAAAATACATACTCCCCCAAATGACAAAGCCTTGTGCCACGCATAGAAGTCTTACAATGTATCCTGTGAAACCTCACAGACACATTCATTTAACCAACAAAAGCACTTACTTATGTGCAAAGAATTGTTTAAGAAGCTTACTATTACTGTGTTATTTGAAGAATACAAAAGAAGAGCTCTAATGGAGACTGAGAGTTCCCCAGTGAACTAAAGATTTTTTTTTTTAAACGATAGTAATCCCTCTTAGCCTAGGATAATGTACTAGGTGTAAAAGTCGGTACTTAACAAAAGTTATAGGTTAAGTAATGAATTATGAATATACTTCCTTGCATTTCTTTTCACACTAAGTCAGTCATTTATTTCTCTGAACATGACCCATCACCAACAGCAGCAGCCTGAACACAGGCTGAGATTTAGCTGTGGCCAATCCACCTATATCTGTGCTGTTCAAAGTCTAAGTTGCTGTATTAATTGCCAGCAAGCACCCAATACTGGACTTGGCTTTCTCACTGCAATAGACAATATTATGCCTTCAAAATATTTAAAATATTTAAATATTTAAAATTTCCCTTCTATTTGTCTCCATATGAGAGAGTACACTTCCCACTGATTTTAGGCTTGGTTAAGTGACTTGATTTCGTCACTGGAACATGAGCAGTGACACGTGCCATTGCCCAGTAGAAGCTTTAAAAGTCATATGTGATTCCACTACCTTCTCTTTTCCCTGTGC